CGGCCAGCTTGAGAGCCTGCATCAACTTCGCGATCTCCGCGTCCTTCTCCTCCAACTTCTTCTGCATCTCAAGCTTCTCGATCGCGGCATCCTCCCTCTGGCGGTGCAGCATCATGGTGAGCTGGTCGACCTGATATTCGGCGTCGATTCGCGCGCTGAATTCCTGCGATCCAAGGGGGATGGTCGGCAAAAGGTGAGCCAATGTTGCAGGACGACTTGTTTTGCAGGTCGCCGGAACGCGCACGCCGTACCTCTTGGGGGTTCTCGCTCGGAGTACTGCGCGTCGCGATGGTTTCGAGGTCCACCCGGTTGACGTCCTTGGCCCATTTTTGGAAGTCGGGGTCGCGGCAGAGCTTGGAACTCTGGACGTACGGGTGCCACGGTTCGCGCATCAGCATGCACGCAAGATCCTCGGCGACGATTCGGCGGCCGAACTCGATGAGCGATTGCAGGAAGTGCACCCCGGCCGTGTTGGGCTCTCTCGCGGATGCGCATTTTACCGCCTGCGAGTCGAACACAAACACAAACACAATCAGCCGTCGGTATAATGTCGTCGTGGAAATGGTCGGCGGGTTGTCGGCGTTATTGCCGTCCGAAATGCTCACCTTGGCCAGTTCCGCTTCAGCCCACGGAAAGATGTGCTGGGCGACGAGGGCCACCACCTTGTCGTCGGGCTTCACCATGCTCCGGCCGAGGTGGTAGTCGCCGCGCTTGCCCGTGTAGCCGGCCTTTCTCAACACCGCCGCCTTCGGGATGGTCGTGATGTAGCTCTTCGCGAGCTTGTCGAGCGCCCAGTGGCCCAAGTCGGCGATGTCAGATCGCGGAACGCCGTCGTCGGCCAGCTCCTGTGCCCCACCCGCCCGGGCGGCGTGGGTGTTGCGCGTGATGAAGATGTTGTTCGTCCGCCACATCTCTTTCGTGATCCGAGAATGAGATGACGCCGGCAGCTCTTTTTGTTCCTTGTCGTTCCGAGCATGAAAGAGGTGCTTGTGATACCAGCTGTACGGAGTCATGAAGTCGAGGGGCGGCACACATCGAGAAGTGGGCGATCGGCTGAGCTGGTCGTACACGAAGTGCAGCCACAACAGTGTGTGACCGACGGCGCACATCTCTTGGTCCAGGTGTCTCGCCGCGTAGCTGTGATGCAGACGAGCATCCTTGTTCGTCTTGGAGTTTTGTGACGCGACAACCATGACAACCGGCCGTCGAGTGGAGTGCTCGGGCGACGCGCTCCCCATTCTGTACAAAAACAGGTCGGGGAGCTCGATCGCTCGGAGGCTGGCTCCGCGGAGAAGGGTGTGGTGACCCAAGAGGGTCATCGTCTTCATCAGCAGAAACTTCCACAGTGTCTGGGAGGGGGTGGCCGCTTTGGGTTCGTACGCCCGAGCTGCCCAGGTCGGCAAGACCTTGAACATGAGGTGGCGGATCTGGTCGGTGGTGTACGTGTCGCCGAGCGTTCCGCGGTGCCGGTCGACGCAATCCCTGCACATCAGTTTCCACGAGGACTGGGTTAGCTGGGCGAACCGGGAAACAGGCGCGGGACGACTTGCCGACTTACCTGTCGTCCCTGTGCCACTTCTCTCTGACCATCGCGCGCACCTCCGAGCGGACCTCGGAGATGTCGTACATGATGTGGAGCTCCTTCACCCCGAAGAGCGTCCCCTCGACCTTGCAGGCCGTCTGGAGCGCTTTGATGCGGATGAGCAGCATCGAAACGGTTGTCGGCTTCAGGGGCTGGACACGGACGTCGGGATTCAGCTCCTCGAGCTCCTCGGCCTTTGCAATACCTTCCTGCCTCGCGATTGACAGAATGTACGCCCTGATCCGCGTGGCGTTGACGCGGGGACCGTGCATCCATTGTAGGTCGCCCTTGGCGGTGTGCCACTTATCACCCATGTCTTCGTCGATGTACCTCCCTATCTCGTCCTCGTGTTCCAGCACGCCGTCCCCCTTGACTCTGGCGGTTTGCTGACTTGGAAGGTTCGCGCAGCACCATCTCCTGAAGTCGAGCAGCGCCCGCAGGTACTGAATCCGGGTCGTTCTCGCCTCCAGCGTGTCGAGATGCCGGAAACCCCACATCATCCTCAGCAATCTGTTCTTCTTGGCGAGCTCTTTGTTGATGTCGAAGGCGGCTTCCGCAAAATCGTCGCGCGGAATGTTTTGCAGGAAGGCGTCATCTTTCTTGTCGGCTGCCAACAAGTCCTCTACGGTCAGATACATGTAGTCGTTTTCTAGAAATGGTCCAATTGGCGGCGGCTGCTCCGTGTCCGAACGCGGCGAGTACCGGTCCGGCCCGGGTTCGGGAGCCCCTTTCGTCCCTGGCGGTAGGGGGATGGTCGGGTCGGCGGGAATTTTTGCCCTAGCGGCGTCTACGTCGACCACCATGTCGGCGGGAATATTTGCCCTAGCGGTGTCTACATCTTCCTCCATGAAAGGCTCGTTCAGGTCGGGAATCGCGCTGCTCCCCGCCGGCGGCGCGACGCCAGCCATCTCGGCGGGTAGAGTTGTTCCCGTCGGCCTCTAGTTGTCGCCGCGATCTCGCTGCGGTACGTGCTCAGCCCACCAAAGTCGATACTGCACAATCGCTGCCGTGTATTGCCTTCGCACCGTGGCCCTAAAGGCCGCCCGTCTTTCGGCCCTCTCAACGTTCTCGGCGATCGTCAACTCCGCGGCAATGTCGGTCAGTTCGGGAAGTAAGGGCGGCGGATTGGTGTTCTGCTGGGTGATGTTCGGAGTGGCCGTGGTCGGCGGCACAATGGTCGGCGGGGTGTGAAGTGGCAATGTATCGTTCGGCGGGGTGTTGTCCGGCGGGATGTTGTTAGACTGGTCCCTGACCATTGGAGGCCGCACGGGGGATCACCGGCGATGACAATACTGGTTGTGGGTTTGAAGAAAGAGGTCGGCGACTTTCGGTTGTTGTCGACCTAGTCAGTCGTCCTAGTCGGAATGATCCTAAGTCGGAAGCCCGTAAAGTTTGCCGACCTAAACGCACTCTACACCGGCGTGGCTCGTCGTCGACCCTGCACCGCGCGTGGTCGGTCGGTCTCCGAGAAGCGTGAAAATGAGCAAGGGAAATGTGGCCCACCAGAATGGAAATGAATGCAACGCAACAAACAAGTGTCGAAATGCCATGGACACTTGGCCGTCAGGGGGTCATAGCATAGAGAGGCACAGTCGCGGTTCGGGCGGACAGGTGTTGGCGGGCGATCCGTGGGCATGTCTCCAACTCTGCATGCAAGGCAGAACGGCACGGCGGCGCAATAGTCGACGTTGCACGGGGCACTCATGTCTTTTACGCAGCCGACCGTCCGGTGTTCCCGTCACGGTGAACCGTGCTTACACGTCGGCGTGACGCAGCAGTGCTCATGGCGTCGCCCGACGATGGTATCCCGCGGGGACGTTCCCGCCAGCAGGCCGGCGAAGGCTTGATCGCCGCGTGGACAGACGTTTGCCGATCGATGTTCGCCGCGTGGAATGTTGTGTTTCGGATGGGCGACGTGTGGCTCTGCGCGCCAGCGCAGTGGCCGGCCAGAAATCGCGGTCGGCCTCACGTCGCAGTCCGCGCCGATGGCTAGGTGGACGTCGTGGCACGCTGACCGCGACCGGCGTCGTGGAGTTGTCGACCTCGTACGGGGGGTCCGTTGAGAGGTGCTATAGGGGTATTTTTCATCGGGATTGCCGGGCGACGCAGGGTGACGCTCCTCGCCCAGGACGTGCACTCAGTTAGCCGGACAGGATGACGCAGGGTGGCGGATCCCTTTCCCGAGCCGCGTCGTTTTTGCACCCGGATGTAGTCGGGGCGTTGAGATATACCATGCTGTCTCTTGACCATATTTTAGCAGTTCCAACGTACTGAACCGCCGACCGCCTTCTTACAGCTTCAACTACACCAGCTGAAGGTTTCCTATGGTACTGTAGAAGTTCATCAACAGTCCACGACAAGTTTCATTGACCCTCCACCCAATGAAGCCCGCTCAGTTTCCTCACGCGTGTTCCTTCCCTCAAACCATTTTCCTTTTCTCTCTTCCCTCTTCCCCCAACTTTCTCCCGTCATGTTCCCCTGTCACTATTTTCCTCGATAACCTCGAGGCTGCTCTTTCCACTGTCGCAGGGTTTACTGTACACGGGCAGCTGAGAGTGAGGAAATTACCGCCACTTCAAAATATAATAGCCACGTGGCAGACGACCACTCAAGGCCAGTTGGTTAATTCGTCCACATGTACATGCCACGGGAAACAAGACATGGTTGACCGACGCACATTACAAGCATGGGGGAAATACTAGTCGCACGGTTGTTCACTGTACAGCAGAAGATAGAATTATGGCTAAATAGCACTAACCAAACCACAGCAGCAGATATTAGTTTAGCGAAGGCATAGTACAATACTAGGACAGACCCCACTGTACAGAACTAGGAGATAGATTGTGTCTGCAAAGTTGTAATCCGATGTCACAAAACTATTTTGAGAATCGAAAACACAACAAGTGCGACAAAGACCAACCCTGCAGCTACTAGCATGACGAGCAGCATGTTGCATGTGTTGTCCGATCGGCGCATGAATATTGACATCTTCTTCTTGGCCAGCTGTAGAGTGTCAATCAGGGAGAGAGAATAGCATTGAAACACAACATATATGTCCCAGTTTTCAACTGAATTGTGGAAGTGGGAATAGGAAAGCTGAGAATGCGTCAAACGACAAGAAAAGGAGGGAAGAAGAGGAAGAAGAGAAAGATGGGAAGAGGGACCGGGAGGGGAGAGGGTGTGATAAAAGCAAAACGAGCAGCCCACCTGTACACGAGCATTTGTTGACTGAATGCTGTCATCCAAATCATCCTGCACACGTGCACCGGCAGCAAAGCCATTTCAAACACAAACACAAACACGTGGAAAGGGCTTCAGTCGTTGAAAGTGCAGCCACAGCTTCAGCCAATAGAATCGCAACAAGTCAGCATAGCTGATCCTGTTGCAGCAAAGGCTCACTTAATTGCACACAAAGCTATCAAGGAGATGCGTCAGTCATACAGTACGAATGGTAGCTATCAAAACCTGTGCACAGCACAGCAACGAGACGATAATGCCAAGAGAAAGCACATACCAGCAGATGTCGATGCAGGTCCAGCTCGCCGTTAATGGTGAGCGCAATGTGCTTGGTGGTTGCCACCGTGGACTCTAGCTCCTCCAGCTCCGAGTCTTGCTCTGCTCCGATCAGCAGGTCAAAAACAGACAAAAAAAAACTAAGAGCATATTCAAATAGAACAAAAAAAAAGGAGGCCACTCCTGTGTCGACAACCAACAAAAAAGGAGAGTTCACGTGAATGGATGCGATCAGGAACCAAGCCACACAAGAGGCATGGAGGGGAAGAACCGCTCATCTCCTCAGCAGAATAAACACAAGAAAGACAAGTACAACGGTACGACGGCATGTCCTCAACAGCATGCCTTGCATGATTTCTTGACGCAGGGCCACGAGGCCCTTGTTTGAGTGGACCAGAAAAGCAGAGGGCATGTATGTCCACAGCACAGTGACAAACCTTGCATGATCTCCTGCTGCAGGGCCATGAGCTTCTTGTTTAAGTCAACTCAAAAAGAAGAGCGCATCCTTTCAGCAGCATCCTTTCAGCAGCATATACCTTGCATGATCTCTTGCTGCAAAGCCACGAGCCCCTTGTTGTCTCGCGAGGCTGTTCTCTCTGTCTCCACCGCCACCAGCGACCGCCCGTCACGGCCCAGCAGGGCTGACCTGCAGAGGGAAGGAAACGAGGGGAAGAGGAGGAGAATATTTCCTCTTCATTACAGCGCGCCTCGCCCGTCAGGCCCGAGGGAGGGGAAAAAATATATGCAAGGCAGCATGTGAAAGAAGCATGTCGCAACGCAGATGAGTACTTCAACTCCTCTTCTCACGCCAACTTTTGAGACTCTCAGCATGTCGCAACACGAAAGAGTACTTGAACTCCATTTCTCGCGCCAACGAAACTCGCCCGTCATGGCAGGGCGAAAGCCTCAGAAAGAAGGACGCGAGGGGGAGGCAGAGCACCCAGTTACAGTCAACAGAAAACGCAAGCAATGCAACGAGAAAAAAGCAGAAAACAGCAGGCAGTGAAGCGAGGGGTCAGAATGGTGAGAGGGGGAAAGGGGGAGGGGGAATGGAAGGGTGGCAGGGGAGGGGGAAAGGAGGGATGGGAGGAGAAGGGGGGCGATACGTATCGTTACGTAAACCAAGGCGACGACGAACCTGTTAGCCGCTGATTGCGCGGAGGTGAGCACGGCTGCCATCTCCTTCGCCTTGAAGCGGAGAGCGAGAAGCAGGTCTTCCCGCCGCCGAATCTCCGTAGAATTGCTGGAAGAGCGAAGGAAAGAGGGAGAGAGCGGCTAAGATACGCGAAATTCAAAACGCAGGACGTGTGTCTCTGCGGCAAAAGTTAACGAGGAGAGAAAGGTAACAAACGACTACAACAGGTTTCGTTAAGAGATAGCTATAAGCATACGCCTCATAGCAAGAACCTGTCATCCTAATCCCTCCTCCAAGAAAGCTTACAGTTGCGACTTCTCCGCTGCAGCTCGAAGCCCCGTTTCTAGACGGTCCGATTTCGCCATAAGCATCGCAATCTTTCGGCGAGCTGCAGCGACGAGGCGCGATGGATCCCCTTTAGATTTGATCGCGTCGTTTCTTTCCTGAATAAGGCCTGCCACGTCATCCGCCATCCTGGAGGCATCCTCGAACTCTCTGACCCACGGGTCCTGGAAGTGAGCCATACTAGTGCTGCTACTGCTGCTGCTAACCCTAATGGAGCGAAAGGGGAAGAAGTCTTGAACAACGAATCTCGACAACCTCTGAATCCTATCACGTCTGTATGGAAAGTCGCAGGTGCAAACGTCCTTGCAGTGTAACCAAGTTTGCCACGCGACAGTGGACAGTAGAAGTGGTGCCAAGGGTAAAACGGGCAAGGTCAGCAAGGCTACTTCCTACAAACCGAAACTCTAACAGCCTGTTTCTTTGCTACCGCTAAATAATGCCTTCCAAAACAGCATCTACGATACCAGCAAGAGGAACGCCAGAACCAGTCGTAAAAGCGGGAGAAACTAGTTTATTCTGTAAGACCTATGGCTGAGAAGCGAGCATACTCTACTGAACTGGTACAATACGGAGAAGCGATGAGGTAGAAAAAGCTTCTCGTCTCGTCTCTCTCTTCTCTACCCTATCCTACCCACCAAGCCACACATTCACATGACAGGAACCTCCTTCCACTTCGGGATTGGCTGGACGCTTGCCTGCTTCCATCGCTGCAAGTTCCGGCCCGGGTTTGGAGAAAAGAGCCGTGTGAGTGGAAGACGCGAATCACCACACTGTAACGTACTGGACCGTCTAGAAATGTATATTTGTTGTCACTTCTGAACTGCAACTTCTGACAAAAGATGAATCCTTGGGGCTGGGCCGCATTGCGTACTCTTCTTGTGCGATGGGATTCGTTGAGAGTTCGCTGATGACAGATACTGGGACAGTAGTCGCACATGACGGCTGCGAAGCTCGTATGGCCGTCCGCGACAAGAGGAATATGCTGTCAGTCGACCATCTTCCACCCAGATTTGAACCTTGACCTAACAAGGAATTTATGCTGCAATGCTGAGCTTTTGTAGAGCATACAATTCCGCCAGGTACATCCTTCTTTGGCCCACATATATCTTCTTCCGCTCCACTGTACATCAGAGAGTAATGTGCATACAATCAGCATCGAACAACAGTCACTAGCAGCAGCATCTACATAGCTTGCCCACCATCCTGTAACATATTACTTAAAGCTTAGCCATTGAAGACACTCCCTTTGGTGCTCCCTGCAAGATGCAGAAACCAGGCACATGATGATTCCAACCATAAGTCACAAAAGTGCAGGCACAAGGCGAAGAAAAAGAGTAGGAAAAACTACAGGGAATAATTCCCATAAATGAATCCAACAATCCAGCAAATAGTATTCACTCACCAGCTTGACGCCTCGAGCTGCTCGCTCAAGCAAGTAGTTGCAGGGCTTGAAGAAACCTCCATAGGCCTGTGACCATGTGGTGAGGCGATCCGCAATGTACTTTGCCCCAACCAGATCAGCCCAGAAGACCAGGCCACCCCTGCAAGCCAGAAAGGGCAAAAACAATACGAAATGGAGGAAAAACAGGAATAACAAGGCTCAGCATGACAATGTATTGCTGAGCACTACTGAATTGAACTCAACATTATTCCTACACACTCCTATTCCTGGAAGGAGTCCAGTCACTCACTGACCAGCCAGCAGGACGAGAAGCAACTACACCACGCACTCACCGGTAGGGAGGGAAGCCCATGGAATGACAGTAGCGATGTCCATATCCAATGCGCACACCACGATGCCCTCGTCCAGCACACGGCACATGAGTTCTTGGAAAGCAGATCACTCACCTTACGAGCAGGAAGGAAACAAGCACCACATACTCACCGGTAGGGGGGGAAGCCCATGGACATGACAGTGGCAATGTCGAGATCCGATGCTCGCACCACGATGCCCTCGTCCAGCACACGGCACGCCTCGTTCACCACGGGGAAGAATATCATCTCCACGATATCCCTGTCAGATACTGCCACGGGCTTGCCGCCCGGCTTGATGTTGTTGTACTTCCCTGCCTGCTCCACGAACTCCTTGATTGCCGGGTCCGGGCGCTGGCGCCTGTTGTTGTCGTACAGATAGAAGCCCTTGCCTGATTTCTCTCCTGCTCGGGCACGCACAACATGAAAGAGAGAAACAATATCAAGCCGGGAGATAGTGGCAACGGCAAGCTGTCAGCGTCCAGAAAACAAGCAACCTGTGGCAGTGGCAACGACAAAAGAATGCAGAAAGTGGAACCATGCATGGAGTCCTGAAGCCTGCGATAACGAAAGAAAAAAAAGGCTTGTGAACCAGGTATGCAGGGAGCCTACCGAAGCGTTTGGCCTCAACGAGGAGGGGGATGAGTGCAGCCTTGTAGGCCCGCTCGGGGAACGCCGTGACGAACTGCGTCCCCACCGCCTGCCCCACTTGCATCCCCACCAAATCAGCCAGCCTGTGCAGCACACCATGCATGGGCCAAACGCCATAACCGGAAAAAATAAGGTTTGGGCTGAGAATTGCCACAATATTCATGAGGATAGGGCTTGGGTGTAAGGCTTACCAATACTTGCAACAATATGGAAGGCATGATCACCTGAAGAGCCCCACGGGCATGCCGAAGGCCTTGATGACCTGGTCGATGAGCAGGCAGGCCGCCATGTTGTCGGGAAAGAAATCGTGATTGACAGCCTGATTGGTTGACAACCTTACCAGTTAGCGTTCCCCAAAGCCCAGCCTCACACCTATGGAGAACAGATTGCCCCATGGACAGTAATGTGGAATCACCTGAAGGGTCCCATGGGCATGCCGAAGGCCTTAATGACCCGGTCAATGCGATAGAGATCCAACCCCAGGTCCACGAGCACGCAGGCCGCCATGGTGTATGGGAAGAAGACGCGGTTGACCGCCTTATGGGTTACAGCCTTACAACTACGGAACACCAAGGGAGGAAGGGGCGGAATCACCTGAAGGGTCCCATGGGCATGCCGAAGGCCTTGATGACCCGGTCGATACGGTAGAGATCGACACCAAGATCCACGAGCAGGCAGGCGGCCATGGTGTAGGGGAAGAAGACTCGGTTGACAGCAAAGCCAGTGCAGTTGCCCACCACCACTGGCGTCTTCTTAATGGTCTTGCCCAGGGTGATGAGATCAAGGATGGCCTGAGGGGAGGTCTTATCAGTGCGGACCACCTCCAACAGCGGCATCACATGGGCAGGGCTGCGATGGTTAAAGGGGGCGTGGGGTGGGGGGGAGCAGGAGGGTGATGAGATCCAGGATGGCCTATGGGAGGTGTTGTCTGTGCGAACCACCTCCAGCAGCAGCATCACGTGGGCAGGGCTGCGACGGTGGGGAGGGGGGGGAAGGTCAAGAGAACATATATACTGGTTAGTGTTGGCCAATACGGGCGTCTTCTTGATGGTCTTGCCCAAGGTGATGAGGTCAAGGATGGCCTGTTAGGAGGTCTTTTCGGTGCGGACCACCTCCAACAGCGGCGGGCAGAGAGGGGGAAAGAACAGAAGAAAAATTAGAAGTTGGACGAAGAGAAAAAATTAGCAATATGAGTTGGACATGGGCAGCAGATGGGTAGGACTGGAGTGATCAACAGCAAGGGTGAAGTAACCGAATGTTTTGGGGGCGAGAGGGGGTTGCAAGAAACAACATAGTCACAGGCTTGGCACTGGCTGTGAGGCCTCATACCAGCCATGGGATCTGGACCAGAATCTGGCAGACATGCACCCCCCAGGTCGCCAACACCTACACACCCAAGTACCTGAACATCGTATAGACTCTCTGATCACATCACTCCTGAATACCTGAAGAAGTGTGCACCGATGATGCGGTCCTGGGAGCAAGTCTTGGCTCCAACGACGTTGAGGTCGATGGTTGACGTGTTGGACGAGAGGATGCACGCAGGCTTGCACACCCTCTCCAGGTCCTGGAAGATCTGCTGCTTCAAAGGGATGCTCTCAATCACAGCCTGCATAACAGAAAGATGCAAGTGAGAAGATAATATTGCATTTAATCCTTTAGCTTCAGATGTTAACTGCCGTTTACTTCTAGGGATTGTTGTGCAGCAGATATGTTTTTTTTGGATGGCGTTAGCTCTTCCCTGTCTCACCTCAATGACCAGATCCACGTCAGCGAAGTCGTCGTAGGAAAGCGTGCCCTTGAGTAGCGACAGAATCTTATCCACCTGCTCCTGTGTCATCCTCCCTTTCTTTAGCCTGCCTTGGAAATTTGCTGCCACCAAACAAGAGAAAAAAAAAAAGAGGATATCATTACCTCCAAACAAGGCCGATTCTGATGCAACCAGCACTCATCAGATAATCGAGACAAGTGGAAGTAGGAAGATATGAATATGCTCACCCTTGACACGGTCCAGCCCTTGCTGGAGAAACTGGGCATTGACCTCCTTGAGAATGACTTGAATCTTCGCCGTGATGAGCGCGGTGACAATCCCAGAACCCATCAACCCCCCTCCAATCACTGCCACCTTGCGGAGGGGCCGAGGCTTCAAACCCCGATCTGTGACTCCAGGGATCTGAAAACACAGCAGATTCGTTAGCATGTCATCCAGCTTCCTTCAATTTCTGATGCTTTGGCTGGTGCCATAAAGGGTTTCAGTGAGGAGGATTCAATTACTGCGATCTAAGGCTTCCAAAGCAATGTACCTTAGTTGTTTGCCTCTGGGCGAAGAAGATATGTGTCAGGGACTTGGCCGTGTCAGCAAGCACAAGTTCCAAAAACACCTCCTCTTCCTGCAACAGGCACAAAACAACAGCTTCAGCTTTCTAAATACTCACATTCTATACAATGGTGAGGTGGCAGCCACACATGAAGTTTTCTTGTCCTCCATCCAAAACTCACCTTGAGATTGCCGGCGTACCCCCCATGGGTGACGCCATACTCCATGGCGTCCAAGCACCGCAACGGATGAGTGAGGTTAGGAGCCGTCTGAATCGCCTGAACCCTTGCGAACTTGAAGATGGCTCGAGCCTCGCCCAGGCTCTCAATCCTGTCGTTCCTCTCCAGCGTCTTCAGCCATGGTTTCCTGCCGCTGGCAATATCCAGGGCCCACGCCTTGGCGGTGGTTAGCAGGGCATTGCTAGGAACAATTTGATCAACGAGACCAGCCTTGAGTCCC